AGCCGGCCTCCCTGGGCCCCGGACGGGACCTCGAACCTGCCTCCCTGGGCGGGAGCCCCTAGCCGCCCTGGGGAGCACTCGATGGGTGCCCCGGGTTCCCCTAGGCCTCTGTTACTAGGGCTGGGCTGGGCCATACCGGGTGGCGGTGCCGGTTTCCCCCGCGCTGACGGTCGGCCCCTCTAGCTGCCCAGGCAGAGGGGCCTGGCCTGGAGGAGCGCCTCTTCCAGCAGGTCCGGGACCACTTCAGCTTCGAGACTTGTGGCAATGAGACCTTCCCGCAGCGGTACCTGGTCTCAGGTAGGTCCCAGGAGCTTTGCTGTGGCCGAGCTGCTCCCAGCCCCGGCACGGCCGTGGCAGGGCCTTGCTATGGCTCAGGGCAGAATTTCTGCCTGCTTAAACTTTAACCACTCCTGCACTGTGCCAGAGAGCCTCTCTGTTTGCTGCTCAGCGAGCTGTGCTAAGCAGCCAACAGTCGGTTTGAGCTGAGTGCCAGCCCTTCGTGAGCCAGTCATCCCCCCCCCAGCCCTGGCGTTGTCCATATCCTCCTCTCCTTCCCTTCAATTTGTCGCTCTGGCCATGGGGTGTGGGGTACAGGAGTGGGAATTGGCCTCTCTGGAGCAAGAGCAGACTGGAAGCAGCAGCTGCGTTAGGTTTGCACCAGGGCTGGCTCTGTGCCTGTGTGGCTTCAGTTGGCCACAGCATCTCTTACAAGTGCAACTCAGTGCTCTGAATGCAGCAGGAAAAACAAATAGTGACTGAAACATTGCACTCTGTACCCATCGTTCTTATGAGTCAACTTCTCTTGGGTCAGTGTTTTTTGTTATTTAAAACTCTGCAACTTTAGATATCTTGAGGCATGCTGAACAATGAAGGCTTCCAGCAAGGAGCTAACAGTGTCTTCCTTTCTAGCCAAATAATGAGTTGTCTTATGTGCAACAGACAGTAAGAGAGAGGAGGCTTTTCTAAACAGCATGTGACTACAAAGACATCAATTTCAATAAGGAGCATCGCATGTTTTTCAGTCCTGCCTGCTTTGAGGAATCGGGGGAGAGATTTACAGGGAGAGAACAAAGGTGGAGCTGTGAATAGCACCAGCCAAGAGTGCTGCCCAGCCTGGCACCTGCCTCACAGACTGCCTGCATCTGGGACTTCGTATGCAGCATCTCACCTTCTTCACATCACCTATTACTCTGCAGCTTTTTCAGCACCTGCACCCAGTCCTATATGTTTCACCCAGTGTGAATTCATGGATCACTTCAGCCCAAAGATATGGGAACATCAGTGAATTTTGATAGCACACCCAAGGCTCAAATTTCACTACTTAAGTGGCCCTTTTTGAATAGAACTTCAGGATCACCTGGTTTAAAGCATTGCGTAACTTTTATTTATTTTCTTTTTAAAGTGTTGTATTTTATCTGTGTGTCCTGAGCAGAGCTGAATAATATTTGTGAGAAACAGAACATTAACATTGCAGTTCTGCTGGTTTACAAATCGTTTCTTTCCCAAAATTCCTGTGAGTAGTTCCATTCCCCTCTACTGCTCCTTGTGCAATACAAGACTTTTCAGTTAGAACTTGAGGGAGATTATTATTTCACAACCAGGCATCTGACACTCTTGAAGTTAGCTGGCAGTTCCCCAGGATTTCAATCTAAAAATAGATACCTTATTAAGCAACTTGTCTGGTTTGGCTTTGGCTCCTGTGAATGGTTGTTTACTCCACGAGCCATGAAGCATATCAGAAGAAAAGCCAGAGTAAAGATAGCAGTTTGGTGTTCTACCTGATATCCAAAGCAAACACAACACAGAAAGAGAATCAGCCTCTTTATTAACAAAGAGCAACAGTTTCACTAATGAAAGGTTTCAAACCCATTTCCAAGCCAAATTCTGCTTTGGCAAGTCTGTGTTCAGAATGCCAAGAATTAAATTCAGGCCTCTCCATTAATGGAAATGGCCTCGTGTGATGTGCTGCAGCAGTGTCCATAGGACAGCCGCTCTTGGAGGGTCCCTTTGGATGATGCGGCAGTGTGTTGAAATCAACACTTAACTGATGGTCTGAGGTCTGTTGTTGAAGAAAACCATTTATTATCCCTCTTAATTCCTGTGCAATTTAAGACTAAGCTAAAATCAAATGTTTGTTGAAGTCAGCAAGCATCAAAGGAACTGTTTGTTAGATAAGCAAGTATTGACATCATGGGTCAGCTTGTCCTGTCAGTCTCAATTTGCCTTCAGTTATAAACAGATCAGAGGATGATCATCTATCATCATATATATATGGTATATCATATGAGAGAGAGAAAGGTGTGTGTGTTACACATATAACATAAATCAGCATATCCTGGACTGCATCAAAAGCAGTGTGACCAGCAGATCAAGGGAGGGGATTCTGCCCCTCTACTCCACTCTGGTGAGACCCCCCCTGCAGTACTGCCTTCAGCTCTGGGGTCCTCAGCACAAGAAGCGCATGGACCTGTTGGAGCGAGTCCAGAGGAGGCCACGAAGATGATCCGAGGGCTGGAGCACCTCTGCTGTGAGGACAGGCTGAGAGAGTTGGGGTTGTTCAGCCTGGAGAATAGAAGGCTCCGGGCAAACCTTAGAGCAGCCTTCCAGTACCTAAAGGGAGCTTATAAGAAAGGTGGGGAGGGACTTTTTACCAGGGCCAGTAGTGACAGGACAAGGGGCAACGGTTTTAAACTGAAAGAGAGTGCGTTTGGATTGGACATAAGAAAGAAATTGTTTATTATGAGTATGGTGAGATACTGGACCAGGTTGCCCAGAGAAGTTGTGGATGCCCCCATCCCTGGAAGTGTTTGAAGTCAGGCTGGATGGGGCTCTGAGCAACCTGATCGAGTTGAAGATGTCCCCTCTCATTGCAGGGAGGTTGAACGGGATGGTCTTTAAGGTCCCTTCCAGCCCAAACAATTCTGTAATAGGTGATTTACATCTTGGCTCTATGTTATACATCACAGCAGGAGCAGCAGAAAGATGCAGGCAATCCCCTAACATCCAATTTGTGGGAGAAGTGATCTGTGGAAGTGTTTTGGGATCAGTTGGGCTGAAAAGGGTGTATAAATGGAAAATTGCTCTTTTGGGAGGCAGTTGTTTCCAAGTGCCTTGCAGAGCTTGAGATTTTAGGGATTTTCAGGCAGAAGTGGAAGTTCCAGGCAATGTCATGATCTCATGGAAGCTCTTATCTACCCCCACTCAAATGAGAGATTTCTGTAGCCTGGCCTTTCTAACACCTTATGCCCCAGCTCGTGTCTCAGGGATCAGTCTGCTCACAGAGTTCTTCCTTGTTAAGCTCCAGCCCAAACTCACCAAAAGTAGAGTTATTTCATGCTCATGGGTTTTTTTTGGGTTTTTTTCTTTGTTTTGTTTTTTTAATTTGCTTCTGTCAATTGTCTCACTCAGTAAAGTTCTGGAAGAAAGGATTTGGACCCATCTTTTTCTATACTGGCAATGAAGGTGACATCTGGACTTTTGCTCGGAACTCTGACTTCATATTTGAATTAGCAGAGGAACAGCAAGCACTTGTGATTTTTGCTGAGCATGTGAGTATTTTAGTCATTATGCATACTATAGAGTCTTTTCCTGTTCAGTATTACTGAATTCAGCTTTCTGCAGGTCCAGAAAAATAGTAACATCTCTTGCCATGAAGATGAGGTATACCTGCTGTAAGCTTTCTCCTCGTGGTAGCAGCTTTGAATATTTTTTTACTATGCCTACCAGCAATCCAGGATAAAGACTACTGTTTCAGTAAAACCTATGCCATGGTGTATTTGCTTTGGACCAGGGCTTTTACAAGTAGTTTCCACAGGCCTTGAACTCCACACTGGACTAGAGTTATTTTGTTTGGATAATATTTAATCTCTCTAGCCTGTGAAGTCCCAAGCCAACGTTTCCCACGCCACTCCATTAAATCTACTATTCCACAACTTATGCATGAAGAGATTACCCTGTTCCCTTTTCTAGCTGGGGATGTCAGGAGAGAGACATGTGCCAAAGGCCCACTTGGCACCCACTGAAGTAGCTTGTTATGGACTGTCCATCCTCTACAGACCTGAAGGTCTCTGTTTATCGGATGCAGGAGACAAGGCATTTCCTCAGTTCCGAACAAGTTAGAGGACACCACATGCTCTGTTACTGCTTCCCATTTGTGCACACTTATCCCAGCTGTATAGTGAGAACAGAGAAGACACAGACCTCGACACCAGCATTTCTGCAGCATCTCTCTTTCCTTCCAGAGGTACTATGGGATGTCTCTGCCATTTGGACTTGAGTCAACACAGCTGAAGAATACTGGTCTGCTTACTGTGGAACAAGCCCTCGCTGACTATGCAGTGCTAATTACTGAGCTTAAGCAGCAGTATGGTGCTGCAGACTGCCCTGTCATTGCTTTTGGAGGCAGGTAAAGATTTTGTGTGCTCCTTCCCTGCATCCTTTCTCAACCACAGTCATGCTGTTCTTATAGATCTGTTTGTTTGGCTCTCAAGCAAATTCTAAAGGAGAGCTTTAAGCTACCCGATAGAGTGCAGATGTGCCTGTGCCTAAGCTCCCAAGAGCTCATCACCAGGTCCCAGTCAGCTCTGTCACCAAGAATTAAGTCTCAATTTGTGATTGCTTTGGAGAAGCACCACTGACTGGATGTTTCTAGGCATCTTCAATGTACGAGTCAGCCAGAGCTGCAGAAAATGGCCTCCCAAGTAACGAGGGATAGGACAAGAGGAAATGGCTTCAAGTTGCACCAGGGGAGGTTTAGGTTGGATATTAGGAAGAATTTCTTCACTGAAAGGGTTGTCAGGCATTGGAACAGGCTACCCGGGGAAGTGGTAGAGTCACCATCCCTGGAGGCATTTAAAAGACGTGTAGGTGTGGTACTTAGGGACATGGCTTAGTGGTGGGCTTGGCCGTGCTAGGTTTACGGTTGGACTCAGTGATCTCAAAGGTCTTTTCCAACCTAAACGATTCTATGATTCAATGAAAACAGGAAATGCAGAAAACTATTAATTGGTAAAGCATTTTTTCAGGGACCACCCAGCTTTTTATTAAACATAGCCTCTTTAACAACATCCAGCCATTTTCATTGTAGGCTCCTTTATAATTCTGCTCTGCAACCTGCTGCTTTGTTGCTCCTGGCCTCCTAGCAGAAGTCCTTCCCCAAAGTGCTTGCTCTGTTGCAGCTGTGTTGATGTGATGTCCTTGTCTCTTGAATGGCTCCCTGTGCTTGTAGTAGAGGGATGCTTCCCTTTAAAAGGCTTCCACCAGGTACAGGGCTTCTAATTCAGTTCTAGTGAGCTAAAAAGAATTTGACTTGGCAGTTACCGTTAAGCTAGTCACTGTGGTAGTGACTAGACTGTTGATCTCAGTGGTGTTTGTACTGTGACTATCAGGACAGTAGCTCATGTAAAAAGGACCAGGAGCTGTCCTGGGGTGGCAAGGTGGGAAAGGGATTCAGCAAAACCTGCTAGTTGGGCTGCATGTTAGACTACAGCTCCGTATGGGTAAATCAGAGTTCAGTCTGCAGCAGCCCTGAACAGCACTAAACTCACGTGAAGAATACCGAAATAGGGCAGAGTTGGAGCAGCGCAGCATTTCCCATGGGAGGAAAAAAAACCAAACCTCTTCTGTTGCTTATAACTTTGCCAGACTTGAACGTGAAATTACTTGTGGCAGGTTTCAGCTAATGCCTGTTTCCAAGACCAGGGCTAGAGAAATGCATATTGCTTTACATGTGGGTAATGTGGGAATGGTATTTACTCCAACCACTTGAGGTGGTGGGGAGGGAGACTTGAATACCTGTAAGCTTGGAGTTAGACGAGGTTTTACGTGTGTTTTGGGGATGTCATTTGCCACCCCCAGCAGGGACCTTACAGAAACTCCACAAACATCGGCATATGAATAACTTTTGTCACCTTGGGTTTATCTAGCAGCCCACAATACATCTGCAGATTGTGGCCCTGGCACTGAAGCTACCAAGGTGGCTTTGAGTTTTATCGTGGTATCTGTTAATGTCTCCCCTTCCCTGTGTCTGTGCTGATCATCTATGCAGCTATTATTTGTGGTGCCCAGCAAGAATAATCTCCATTTCCCAGCACTAGAGAGGGCTACATATTCTGTAGTGTTCAGAGCCTAGCTAGTCTTTATAATCTTGTATGCAAAATGTGTCTCCTTCCCTCATTGAACAGTGGCAGCTTCACTTGAGCCCTGCTTGGTTCTGCGCCGAAGCTGTCAGGACACACTCAGGATGGTGCAGAGTTACACCTGAGGCAGGATTTACATTTGGCTGCAGAAGCAAACTGGGCTGCTGTGTTCCCACCAGAGTTGGTATGGGTGTTTGTGGAAAGGCCAGTAAGAACACATTGTGTACTGCTCATTGACCATAACTGGATCTTTCTACGTGAGGATGGCACCTACTAGGTATCCATAAGCTTCTTGTTGCCTTGGGTTAGGTGAGCCTGTGAATGCTGGCCTGAACTTTTGAGTTACTATGTTATAAGCTGTCCATTGAAGGAAATAACTCTTTTATCTCTCCTGTGTCAGCTATGGAGGAATGCTGAGTGCGTACATGAGGATGAAATACCCAAACATCGTGGCCGGAGCATTAGCTGCCAGTGCTCCTGTGTTGTCTGTGGCTGGGCTTGGAGACCCCACCCAGTTCTTCAGAGATGTGACAGCAGTAAGTACCATCTCTTTTCAGGAGCATTATTTTCTACCTTTAAGAAGGCCAGATTTTTTTTCCTTTTCAATGTGTTTAAACAGACATCTTTTTTCACAGCATCAGTGGTGGGCAAGGGAATGCAATTAAATGGGAACCCACAAGGAAAAGCAGCAACTGCAGATGTGATGGCTGACCACTGCCTTACACTACAATTCGGTTCCAGCACCTTTAGTACTACTAGGGATTCACTTTCCCATTTCTAGTGACTTGACCATATTACAGCCTGAAAATTTTTCTTTGTGCCTGGCTGAACTCCCTTTGGATAATTTATCCTTGAAATCCTCTCCTGAAATGCTGTATTTTGCATTAATATCAATGATTCACAGCAGCTCCATAGTCCCAAGATGGTTGCATTTCGATGAATAGCTTGGAAACCTTCATTTCGCTAACTAAAAATATGCAAGGTGTCCTGGGTTCACTTAAAACCAAAATTTAAATGTGGCTTTCACATTTTGAGGACATAGGACCCCTAGGAATATGATATTGCTTAGAACGGACTGACATTTAGTTTATAAGGAAAGAAATGTACTACCTGGTAGTACTGAAATCTTGTGATGCTGTCTGTTTTGCCTCTTTTTCAAAATGAATTTCTAGGTCTGGGTGACAGAGATGGCTTTGCATGAACTACCTGTGTATGAAACTTGTGGTCTTTTTGCTCTTATTTATGTATATGAAAACCTTATTTCAATGCAGAGACTTACAGGACAGATCGCATTACCAGTAAGTGTAAAGAAGAGATTATCATATGAAAATAAACACAATAGCATTTGAAACTCTAAATGTATAAGAGAATAAAAGACATCTTGTCTTAAAATTATATATTTTAAAACAAAAAAATGTAATACGACTTAGTCATCTACCAGGCCCTCCAGTGGGAATTCTTCCCTTGACGCTAATTCCTTCTCAGAAGCTCTGTTCAGCTAATAGCTCTGTCTTGCTTCAGCTGTGAATATGCTGTGAGTCATTACACACCCCTGAAATTAGGGCTTTGACCTTTTCATGTGAAAAAAACTTTCCAATTGATTTTAAAATACATTCTCTTTGCAGCAGTAAGCCAACCTCTGGGCTGAGATTCTAAGCAAGCACTTTGTATTGTTCTCAAGGTAATTCCTTCCACCTTCGGTGTGTTTGCATATAAGCAATCTGTGCATCTGAAATCTGAATTCAATTGCTCTTCTCGGTGAAAGAACACCCCTGAGAGCTGTTAATACTAATGAAGGCACAAACCTTTCATGAATCGTGGGAGCTCTCTTTTCCTGTGAGTCAGAGTGCGTTGTTTCAAAGCAGCTTTCTCTGTGACTTTTCTTGAGCTTTTCCAGCTCACTTCATAAGCCTCCAGCTCACTGGGGAAGCGAGCAAAGGGCAGAAAGTTGATTTTGCATAAGGCATTTGCATAAGACTAGGTTATATGTGCCAACTGCCCTGCCTGCAGCCCCTATATGAATACTACACATACAGCCATGTGCATGCTTCCTGTAGTGTAGTAACCAGGGGGTTACTACTCTACAGGGGCTGTTCAGGCCATCAGCTTGCATCAATTTAGACATCTGAATTAGGTATGATTCAAAAGAGTAAAGCTGGCAGCCTGGAAGCAGAACAGCTTTCCTTGGAATGTCTATAATGCTTCCTGCCACTGCAATGGCTCAGTGGAACTGTTCCTGGGTCCGTAAGGGTCTGCGGGGGAGAACTGGAATGGGTGGTGGTTCCTTAGCATGCCGGACGGTGTGCTGAAGCAGTCCAGCATTGCCTAACAGGGAGCTCAGCCGTCACGGCAGCCAGAGCAGACCTGCTCCTCTATCCCAGGCCAATCCATCCCCACGCTCCAATATCAGAGCCATTAGTAGAGGAAAATCAATATGCACATCCAGAAGGGGATTTGGAACCCCTAAAGGGATGCCCAGGGAAACTATTGAAAAACCCACAGTGATTTCTCTAAGCACAACTGTCAGACAAAGACAGAGTTAGGAATAAAAGAAAGATTCCAAATCTGGTTTTAGTTGAGGCTGGGTCTTTGTAAGAAAAATGATTAGCTAGTGATTTATGATTACCTAACCATTCCTCTAGCAGGGTAAAGGGACCGTAAAAGAGCCCTGATAATTCTTATTGTTACAAAGCATTGGTTGCCAGCAGATCTCAAACTGCCTTCGAGCAGACAGGAGAGAAACAGTTTCAGTTGCTAGAGACTTCAGTGACAGAGACAACTTCTTCCACCAGCATAACCAGCCACAGCTCTTCAAGCATACTTTAAAGTGCTTTTTTGGAATCAGTGATGTTTTTCCCATAAAAAAGGACATGGCCTTCTTGGTCATCTGGCAGGTCACTAGCAGGCTTAAGAAGAAAAGCAGGTCTTGGTTCCCAAAGCAGTGCTCTACCCTCCATGCATAACTGATGTCTTCATAGCTCCTTCTCATAGACAAAGTGCAGTTGGAAGGACTCTATTGTGTGTTGAACAAAAAGCAAAAAAAACAAAAACCCAACCCCCCCCCAAAAAATCAACAAAATCCCAACAAATCTGGGCCTATCAGCCTGGCACCCTCTTCCCATTTTGTGGCCAAGACATGTGTCTCCTCTTGCTGCTTCATGTTCAAATGTCTCCACTAAGTGCAAAGTGTTTTGTCTAACAGCTCATCCCAGTGAGACCTGGTGAAACCGTTGCTGCTTGATCTGAGCTGTGCAGACTCTTGGCTTCTGCTGGGATGCGCTGCTTGTCTGGAGGACAAGGCAGAAGAACTGATGTCACTGCTCCTGGAGATGCAGATGAGGTTCTGATCAGTGGGCCAGTAACCCCTGTCATCTCCTGGTGCTTCTGGCATTTCTTCCCAGTGCAGCCTCCACCTGTATAACCATAATCCCGTGTCTTTTCTGTCTCTTCAGGATTTTCAGAAGTCCAGCCCAGGCTGTGTCACAGCTGTCCGCAAAGCCTTCCAGCAGATTAAAGATCTGTGCCTGAGTGGAGGTAAGGAGAGAGCCCTGCAGACGGCTTCCCAAGGGCAGCCAGCAGGCAGTCTCGGCCATGTGGAAAAAAGTTGATTCAGTTTTACTTCAGCTAAGTCTTCAAATTGGTTCAGCTAAATCAATGCAAATGCCCCCCGGCTGCCTCTTTCTGCTTGTACGAATGATTTTTGATTCAATGAACAGTTTCAGTTTGCATTTAAATTAGTAGCCGACACCAAAATGAAAATATCTGTGTAGGGGCTTGCACAGTGAAACCGTCTTTTCTGGGCCAAAGTGCAAAAACACCTGCGGGTGCAAAACACCTGCACTTCATGCTGGTAAAGCCTCATGTTTCACCAGATACTTGTCCTCAACACCTACACTGTTGAGAACTGTTCAGGTGGGTATGACAACTGCATGACTCAGCTCACTGGACATACCTGAAAAATACTTGGAAGTCTTGAAGCAGCCATCACAGTCTCTTTCATCTCCAGCCTTGGACAGTTAGGTGAAGCCAAGGACTGAGACTGGTGAAGATCTCTGCAATGCCTCCAAAGTAGGCCAGACCAGATATTGTGGGCCAGTGCAGCAGCTCCTGGGACCCATGGGTGGTGTGGAAACAGCTGTGGTGGGTTCTTGGTCTGTCTCAAGGCTTAGCTTGGTCGGTGGTGCTGCACATCAGGGCTGTGTGCCTCTGATGGGTGCTGTCGCTTCCTTGCTGCAGCAGCTGGTTCTGGAATTGCCCAGAGGAGCCGTGGGTGCAAAAAACCCATTTAGCTTTGGGTCACAGCAGGAAAAACGTTACTGTTAAATAGCCAAGGTCTTTGAGGGGTGCCTGGGGCCGTGCTTTCTGCAGCAGGGTGGATAAGGTGGTCATATTTAAGGCTTAGGCTCTCAAGTGAGTACCTAGAGGTCCCAGGATTTGGGTTTCCAAGTAAAGACAGCCAGGCTCCGGTAGGCAGCTTGTACAGTAGGATGGGGGTAGACAGGAACTGCGACTCCAAAATGTGGAGGATGAAAATGAAGGGAGCAGCTTTTCCCAGCAGAAATGCAAAGGTATATGAGTGCATCTTGAAGGAATGTCTTCAAAGATGGATTTCCTGACTCCAGCTGACCTCTCTGCATCACACTGAAGTTTGAAGGCACATCTCAGGAGTCCTTTGTAACTTTGTGAGGACTGTTCTCACTTGGCAATTTTTACTGAAATACAGCCTGCTGCCAAGGAGCTTTCTTTTTCTTTTTTTATTTTTTTTACCGCTGCCAATTCTTCCAGCTGTGGAATTCCACTGGGACTTTTATGCTGTGCCCTGCTCTCCTGCATGAGAGCTTCTCTGGGGAGACTCCCCTGCAAGGACACAGCAGACCCCAGGGAGGAAGCCTGCGGAGGCAAGGAGGAGGCAACCAGGTAGGGCACCCGTGAGGATGGGCTCATACCAAGCTGCTCTTCTCACTGTGCCAGCCGGGACTGTGTCTGTCCCGGTGCTGATTCCTCTGGGCTCCCCAGGGAGGTGTCCATGGCTCTGCAAGGGGCAGAGTGTGGGCCATGGGCCACGCCAAGTTGTGAAGCTGCACAGGAAGGCTGTGCCTGAACATCTGTGTGTGTGTGAATTTAGATGTAATGTGTCCTTCCCACTAGAAACCTCGTCTGTGTGTTACAGTATCTCCTTATTCCTGAGTGAGACAAGATGCTGGTATTATTTTCCTCTATTGCAGTTTGTGTCTTTCATTTTCCTTCCTTCTGCAGCCTATGATGAAATCAGCAGCAAAATGGCCACATGCAGTAAGATCTCTAACAAGGAGGATGTTTACCAGCTTTTTGGATTTGCTAGAAATGCCTTCACCATGATGGCTATGATGGACTACCCTTACAAAACTGATTTCATGGGTCACCTCCCTGCCAATCCAGTGAAGGTGAGTACCAGGGTGCAGTTTCTGATGTGCATCTCAGTGATCGGAGTGCAGGGGGCTGCACAGCCTGGGATGCCGTTGGGCACACACCGTCGGTGATGGTGACAGAGAGAGATAGTGGTGGATGTCGAATCCCTTCCACTCGTGACAGTAGATCTACACATTTTAAACTTTTCTGTGACAATGACTGCGGTGTCTGAAATGCACTGCTGTAAGGCTCGTTGGAGAGGGTTTGCTGGAGCCAGTCCTACCCTGTTCTGCCTTTACCTTGGACACAAAAGCCTATGCAAGCTTGTTGACTTCAGCTTTTAAACACTGAAAACCTGTAGCTTTTTTTAAAAAGTAGCTTTGTTGTAGCACACCTCAACACACTTTCATAGATGCATTTTTCTTGGTGCGTAGGGATGGAGATCTAAAAATCAGGATCCTTTCTAAGTATGGCCCAGGAAGATGGCATACCTCAGAGTATAATGCAGAGAAAAGTCTGCTGCTGTGGGGACTGGAAAACCTGTGAACTTTCAAGAGAATCAGAGATGGCAAAGTGTGGGAAAGGGGCTTGGTTCTCAGGGGGTTACAAAGACTTCTCAGACACCAGCTGGTTTTGAAAGGTCCCAGCTTTGACCGCCAGTTGCTGTTACAATTCTTGGTTTCTTCTGGTGTGCTGTCAGCCTTGTGCTGCTGGTCTCTGCTGCATTGTAGCACACCACACCAATGGGACTTCATTTGCCTCTGGCCTTGTGGCATTTATGGTTTGAGTCCTACCTGGAGCAAAATGCATACTGTACAAGAGGTCATACAGGCTATGCTGTACTGGGACTCAGGGGATGCTCTCTCTGGCTCCACTGGGCATCCGGGTCCCTTCTAGTGTCTGTTTAATGACCTGTAAAATGGAAATAATTATTCTACCCTCCCTTGAAGGGCATTAAAATATTCTGATTGTAGGAGGAAGGAACTATTGTGTATCACTGTGGCCTCTGCACAGCTGCTTAACTTGGTAAAGGAACTGTTTGTCCTAGCCCTGTCTCCTTGTTTCTATGTATTTTGTTGCTAGAAGGGAGGGGAAAAAAAAAAACCCCAAAGCTTGTTGCATTAGGCCCTTGGATAGCCTAACAGATAATAAGTGATAATGTTAATGAAACTTCCAGCTTAGCCCTTCTGCGGAGCAGAGGCCGTTAACTATTTTGTCTGCAATTTGCCTGTAATGTGTCTCATCCAGGTCAGCTGTGAACAAATCCTTGCCCACACAGACCCAATTCAAGGCCTGGCTGCTCTTATTGGTGAGTTAATATTATCAGTTTGGTCTTTTATTTAACACCCTGTTTCTAGAAGCACCAGTAAGTAGAACTGTTGCGTTGTTGTGCGGGTTGTGTATCATGGGAGCTGGTATGACTCTGATCTCTCACTAGGACTTTTTGCTCCATACTGGCTTTGTCCATTGGGATGTCCCATGGTGGCCCATGAGTTCATTCTCTCACCTTTCCGAACTTATTCTAGTCAGGTTTTTCAGCCATTGCAGCCCCTTCGCCTCTTGACTGTCCTTGAGATGTGGACTCCTAAGGTACTTGGTTTTTTCCTAAAAGTTTACCCCCTACTCAGGCTCAGGCAGTCACAGCTTCAATGCATGTTCACTGAAGGAAGTTTTCTGGTCTGCTTGTTGAGGACAAGGTTGTCATCACAGTGCCCTACGGTCTTAATCCAGTGGCAAGACAATCTTAAATACATCGTGTATATTTATCTCTGTGAGTACTTAATTTGTCAGCCAGCAGCGTTTGTAAGGAAATTATTAGAGATAGGATTCAAAGCTCTTTTGAAGACTTCCTCATAAAATCTTTCAAGTTGCTCATTAAAAATAAGTTCTACCTTGGTCATTATTCAGAAAAACAGGTTCTGAATGAAAAAAAATTGATTTAGGGAATGCTTACGGGTTTAATGCGGCTTAGTAGATTTGGGAAGTAATTCCTTTTTTTTTGCAAATTATGCATGTCACCATGATAGCACCAAGTCAGACACATACGAATTCCAAATCACTGCTAAAGATGTTTGGCTGGCAGCTAGAAGAGTTGTTAAAATACTCATGTCTTGGCAAATGCTGTTAGATCTACTTGACATGTTCACATCCTACTTCTTTTTTAAGGCGGAGTGGGACTCTTGTTTCTTCATGATGAACAAGCTGAGGGTAGATTTCTTTCTCCTGCCTGCAAGGGAGCACTTTGTGCCTCTCTCCGTCTCACCAGCTGCATTCACTTGGGACAGTTTAATCATGCAAGAGGCATGATCCACCAGAGCTTTAGGCAGGGGACTGGCCTTCTTCCATACCCACCTTTCTGTGTCATACAGGAAAACACTGTCTTCTTTCTGCATATCCTGCAGCAAACCACCTCCTGCGAGGTAGAGCATAGTGTCATGGGCTGTGATGCTGAACTGGCAGCAGCTGAACAAGGATAACGTTAGCGTTGTCCACTGATTGCTTACAGGACAATAATACTCTGTCTCATTGACATGAATCCATTCCTCCGCCTGCAAAGAACCAGACCAACACTCACCCATCGTGTCACGCCTTGAGTGGGCATTGCTGTCATGTCAGGCTCACTTGGTTCATGATAAAGGAAAACAGTGTCTCAACTTCTGTTTTAATACCATGTGGCTCAAGGAGCCAGATTTTTGATCCACATTTAGCAATCAGAGCCTCAAAAGAAACTGAATAAAATACCAGAATGACATGGCTTTGAAGGAGCTTTCTTCTTCTTGGAAAATCAGCGGAGTGAGCTGAGCAAGGTGCCACAGGGACCTCCTGGAACTGGCATAGCCCAAGTCCTGCCTGCTTTTCCACACTTCTAACACATTACAAAGGAAATCATCTAAAGAGGGCTATATTGCATTGAATAGTGGGCAATAACTGAGTTTATGTCATCTGGAGGAATTTGATGTTAGCCTTCATGTGCAGTTTCTCTTTAGAGATTTCTATCCCTTCCTCAATGAGCAGTTAGGTACTCTAAGAAGCCCTCATTCCTTCAAAAGAAACTGTACCCATCATGGTAATATGGGGCCAGGCCCTAAACCCTAAGTCTTTACACTTTCAAATGGGAATTGCTGAATGATCTTTGAAGACTCAGTTCTCTTGGGTTCGGGGAATGGGATTCTAGAGTGAGCTTTTTCAGTCTCCAGCAGGTGTCTTCCCAGAAGGCTGGGCAGCGCTTTCCCTCCTCATTCAGAGATGGGAAATCCAGGTTTAAAGAGACTTCATTTGCGTTCCAGGACTTAAGCCCATCTTTCCTAAAATCTAGGCTGCTGTCCTCACCACCGTCCATTCCTCTTCCCATCTGCCAGTGTTTTGCCATGTGTTTGGGGCAGGTCGGTGACCAGTTTTACACTTAGGTTTTGACATGTTAGCAGGCTGCACCTCCACCATATGTTTTCTCTATTTAGAAAAAAAAAAAGCTTTAAACAGCCTTTGTGCTCTAGCAAATGGAGTGTGACAACAGGGCAGCTTCTAATGCGCATGATTGTAATGGCAGACACATTTTCATAAGCTTATTGACCTCACTTGCAACTGTGCCAGTCCACTAAGAAACCAAAACTAATGAAGTTACTGGTCAACCTATTTGAATAAAACAGTCAGGGCCTAGCAATATAGAGATGCCATTTTGGATCAGATTAGGGATTATAAAAGCAAATGAACTTACTCCTTTTAGTGTCCTTCCTCCAATGCAAAAGATCTTGTCCCTGACTGTAGCCATCCCATGATCACAGCGGGTAAAAGCCATGGCACTGTTGCCAATCCAGCGTCGGAGACGAGGGAGGTAGCTGTAAGTGTCTCGTAAGGTTTTACCCCCCGAGAAGCCTCCTAGAAGGAAAGCAGAAGTCTTGAAAATCTATCCATCATCATCTCTGACATCCACCAAACCTTCTGCAAACATTAACAGAGCTGATTTTTTTTTTTCTTTAAAATTCCTAAGAAGCTCAAGTTTAAAATCTCATGCCATTCTGCAGAGCTGATGCGGTGTGAAATTTAAAACTTGAGATTCTTAGGTATTTTAAAGAGGAAAAAAAAATGCAAACCAGTTCCAGCTCTTTCTGTAGTCTTCCACAAAAGATTTTTGAATAAAGCTCTTGGGGTATTTCAAGTGTAACCAGGAACAGCTTTAATTAGGGAATCTGCTTCCAGCACAGGCAGTCACAGAATGGTGATTTGAAAGAAGAGCATTCAAAGCTCTTTGAACTTTGAATCTTGAGCAGAAGGTCAGGGCCAATCTGCCAGTGCTGTTGTCAGCTTTTTCTCCTTATTAAGCACACACTTGTGCATTTCAGGGGTGCGTTACGAAAAGCTCCTTGCAGAAGGAGGGTGCTGCTGTGGGAAGGGTAAATGTCTCCAGTTGCCTGCCTGTTGAATTGCAACCTGCCGAGAGTCTTTGCAAATGAGGACGATGATACTTCAGGTTGGCCATAAGCCCCAGGTCACCTGGGTGTGGACCCTTTGTCTGCGTGGGGTTTGTGTTTAAATTTTGTACTAAAGTAATGCTCTTAATTTTTCAGTTTGCTTGGGCAGGGCTGGCCAAATCAAATTTGCAGTTACCCCACTTGTTTAGAAGGAAATGAATGCGACAGGTAGGTAAGATCTTATACCCAAGGGGTATAGTGTTATCCAGCCTAGATCACTATGGGATGTTTGAAGCTCTGTGAGGCAATTTTGTCCTGGCTTTCTGGTAGGAATTGAGAACAACAGAGATTAAGTGAGATGCCCAAGTCAAAGCAGGGACTTGAACCTGAGCCTCAGCCATTCCCCCAGCTCAACTATTCTCCATTTGCACTGCCAGTACAGGAGCCCTGCTGTTGTTGGGGTACACGCCTGGGTAGGACAGCCGGGGTGCTGCCTTCCCTGCCCTTGGGGCCTCGGGTGTACAGTCCATCACAGAGAAATGCCCTTCATTGCAACTGTGGAATTGATGTTAATCTGGACTAGATCAGTACAGCGATCCCAGCTGCCCATAACTGGTTTACGAAGCGGGGAGCCTACAGCGAGGGCAGACTGGCCCAGGACTTTTAACTGCAGAGGCAATAACACAGCCACCACAGTGCTTTTCCTTGGAGAAACCAAAGATTATCTTTCAAGTCCAAATTAGTAGCTGCAAAAGCTAAAGATGTACAGCAATTTCCTGAAGTATTTAAACCCATGCTGCTTTATTGTTAAACATCCTGCACTATCTACCAAAAATCCCTGTAAAGACTGAGGATCCCTTGTAGGGCAAAACCTGTACAAGTTCAGTGAGTAAGAGGATAAGAGCCTGCATTATACTTCTTTTTGTATAGATTCACAAAGCAGCACAGTAGGGTTAGTCCTGCATCTTCCATTCAGATGAATATCAGAGTTTAATCCCATCCCCAACGCTATGGCAGCCTGCTCCTTGTTTACCTTTTCAGACAGCAAAGCTTTGGGATTTTAACCAGGATTGCAAGGTCAAAGGCGAGCAGGGGTGTGGATTGCAAGCAGATGATGTCACCTTTCATGTCTTGGAAAGAAAATAATTCCTGCCATTCAGGAGGGCAGTGAGGCTGTGCTAACACAGCAGGAGAGGGACACTGGAGCTGTGGGTGTTACTGGTGTGGGCGCAGGCTTAGACTGTGACATTAAGATACCAGCAAAAATCAACAAAACTATATGAAAATATGCAGCTTTCTACAAGTTCTATCACCTGAAATATAGAGGATTCCCTTGTGGGTTGTGCCTGCGTGATCAGCAATAGGCATGGGGAAAGGAGCTGCAAACTCCCACTTGTTGTCACCAGGCTGGTATAATTCCACGGTATGGGTGAGGGTCCCCAGCAGTGTCCCACCACCCACGGCAAAGATACGATCAGACAGCACATCCGCGTGGAAGCGTGTCCGCCTCTCCAGCATGCTGGCAACCTGGAGCCAGGAAGTGTCGCGCGGATCAAATCGGAAAACCTAGGGTCACAGCAGATGGGTGATGGTTAGCAGAAGGCGAGTGGCTAGCTTGTGTCGCGTATGGCTTCAAGACCTGATAAACATTTTTCCTGGACTGAGGAAGGTTTTATATTCAGACCTGGGCAGGCTCAGCTTCCAGTGCCAGCCAGCGGATACAGCAGTACCTCCCCAGTGGAGCTGGAGGCACAGTTACAGCCTTTCCGCAGGTCTGGGGGGGTCTGGGGATAGGTTGTGCTCTCAGCTTGCAGCAAGCAGGAGGTGAAACACATTGGCTTAATGAAATACCTTTGTTTCAAACACCAGCTAGCATGTGTCAGCTGAAAACTGTTTCAGTGAGATTGAAACAAGCACATTTTGCATGTCTGCTACTGTGTGTAGGAGAAGGCATCACCACAGAGGCACAGCACCTCTGCTAAGGCTGGGCTTCCATTCACATCTTGTTCAGCAGTAAGTACCTTCCCCAAGCTTGTTTTGTCAATCCTGGTTAGAAAGCCCAGGTCACTCAGCAAGGGTAATATCTGCGGAACCACATGCGGTGAGTGCTGGGCTTGGTTTGTAGCTCAGGAGCCAGTGTCATAGCTCTGCTGCTTCAGCATCCTCTGCCTCTGAGCTGCCTCCTGCCTTCAAGGCAGTGGAAGAGAGTTGCTGTTTGCAGTGGCACCACTGAACTAAGTACAATGCTGAAATAAGCCTCCTGGAAGCATGGGAAAGAAAAACATGCTGTTTTTTCTAGCAAACGCACTGAAGCCATCTAGGAAAACATAAAATCCTGCACAAGTCTGTCTGCTTTCCAGGCAGCTCCCAGATTCTGGGAGCTAAAGCAGATTTGCCTTTCAAGGGCAAAACCAAGGAAGGAGCAGTTCTAAAGTGAAGTGGTAGGTTTTAACGATGCCTCCTGAGCACAAGTCCCATGGCAGCAACAATGTGGACAGGGATGGCATTCACAGGGTTGCTTGATTGACATGGACCTGGCTGAACCTGCACTGTGGAAGTTGTGTACAGGTTAGAATGACAATTTACGGTAAGAAGAGCATGGTGAGACCAGGGCAGAACCTGATCACCTACCGGACAGTTAGGAAGCTGTATTCCCAAGGGCTTTCAGTACTGCACATAGCGCTAAGAAATACGTAGAGGTGGGAGATCTGTGGTGGGCAAGAGGAATGACTCCCTCCCTTTCTCACCCAGCCATTTTTCCAAGGCTAAAGGCTTTTCTTGTCTCTTACCTCATTTGATGGCTGCTTTCCCATGGGATCAAATTTGCACTGTCCCCCGATGACAAAGAGGAAGTCATTGATGATGGCTACACAGTGGTTGTACACCGGCACACGGAGCTCCCCGACCTTGTGCCAGGTGCTGCAGCTCTGGTCTGCAGCCCACATCTCTCTGCACACGTGGTTGTCAGTCGTTCTGCCACCAGTGACAAGCAGCATGGTAGAACCGGAGCGGAGGCTCGTGCTCTGGGTCTGCAGGACTGGCTGAGCATACAGCTGGGAGTGGTAATTCAGAGCCTCCTGCAAGTACCTGTGGCAGCCTGAATCCAGCCTCATGAAAGGTATTTCCTGGACATATCTCTGCAGCTCTCGTAAAGGAATGAGAGGGAATCTTATGCGCCTTAAAATATCTGCGGCATCTTTCAGCCGCATGTGGTCGTGCTGCAGCCAGCTCACAGCAGCTCTGAACAGCTCCAGCTCGCTGCATCCCTCAGTGTCAGTCCTGTCTAAAATTTCACAAAGGGTTCCTCGGTCCAGGTTTTTCAAGCACTGAGGATCAGCCAGGACCTGTTTGTAATGCTGCACTATGTAGCACATGGCTTTCTGTCTCAGGTCTGCCGGACCGAGTTTTTTAGCAATGTTAAGAACATCCATGCAGTTCTCACAGTTCAAGCAACACTCCAGAAAGTGAAAGCACAGCTTGATCACCTCCCGAACCAGGAGAGTTTCTGCAGCTTTGAAGGTCTCCTCGATATTCTGTAATGAGAGGTCTAGTTTGTTGGAGTAAATGAAGTTGAGAACATTCCTCAGCCCGGCAGCACTGACAGCTTTCAGCTGGATGTTACCATCCAGGCTCCCCATTCTTGTCAAGTTTCCAACAAACAGGATCTTGCAGTAATTACTTGCTGATGCTAAAATGATCTTGTGGGCTGGAAAGCAAACCCCTTCTGCCTCCAGTGTCACATCGCACAGCGCACTCTGCGAGCGAAGGCTGCTGAGCCCTTCCAGGAGTTTTGCCAGGTAGGTGTCTGACACAAGCCTCGCCGTGCCGGCCTGTGAGCTGTGCAGCATTGCCCGAAAGGTCCTGGAGCAGCCCTAGGATTCCCACTGCACACTCTCAGTGCATCTCCTGGGCAGTCTTCTGCAGCTAAACCAGTGGTTTCATGTTTTGAGGGAGCTGAGGTGATGCTGCCCACGCCACAGAGCGATCCAAAAGCCAGTAGCTGCAGGAGCCTTCCTCCTCAACAGCCTCTGCCTGGTGCTTTGCAGAGCCGCGTGGGGCTGTTTGCAAGTGGAGCTGTTGGTGCTGGTTATTGCACAAAACCCACAGTGTTTGTGGGGTTTGCCTGTGGGCCGTGCCACTGGCAGCACTGGATGACCACCAGCATAGCCACATTCCTCCTCCTCATTAGCTGGTAACTACCCATCTGCACAAAAAGCAGCTCATTCTTCAGCAGCTCCCCAGCTATGCTTTGCTGGGCCAGCTGGTCAAGTGCTCTTTCATCTGGGCAAGCCTGCACATGCCGTCTTTCCCTTGTTGAACAAGTCAAACAAAATCCTGTCTGTGACATGCCACCCTTGGCCATCTGACTAAATTGGATGGATTCAGACAACAGCTACTTTCAGGGAGGGGGGTGGGAAGGTCTCTGCAATTGTGTCCTGTTCAGTTTAAAGCATTCAGCTAACGTCCTGTACACAGCCTGCTCCTGGGTGCATTAGGGATCGGAGGTTAGGGCTCCCTCAAGGACTAGTGAGCTTTTGGCATGAGCAGAGAGCACCTGGGAGCCTCATCCGTCCTATGGATACAGCAGAAGCAAAGGGTATCATGCAGCCAGGCTTGAGACCATGTGAAAGCTTTGGCATAAAGTTGGGATCATAACCCTGCTAGCTCTGCCCCAGCCTTATGCACTTGCCCAGCTGGGATAGCTACCCCTCTGCTTCATCTTGGTTGCATGGGAAGTGATGGTTGAGACAGCAGAGAGGTACTGACAGGTTGGCTTTGTGCTGTGTTCCCACCTGGCAGGGGTGTTTTACAACTCCTCCGGCTCGGCACAGTGTTATGACATATACCAGCTGTACCAGTCCTGTGCTGACCCCACGGGCTGCGGCATCGGCTCAGACGCTGAGGCCTGGGACTATCAGGTAAGGTGTTGGAGACACCAACAGATTTCAGCTGCTGCCCTGGTTATCCCCCGACCCTGCCCCATGACAGCTCTTGTACCTCTCTTAGGTTTGCACCGAGATCAATTTAACTTTCAACAGCAATAACATGACTGACATGTTCCCTGAGATGCCCTTCACGGAGGCCATGCGAGAGCAGTACTGTCAGAGCAAATGGCATGTGAAGCCACGAGCACAGTGGCTGCGGACAAACTTTTGGGGAGGAGGTGAGTTGTGCTGGCTGCTCGTCCCTTTGCATTACCCTGTAGTTGTCTGTCTGTGCTCCCTCTGCCCAGCTGAGTTCTGTGGGGACAGGCCCAGGGCACTAAGTCCTAGCAGAAAGTCACAGCCTTGTGCTGACTTGAGCCAAAGGGACCTTTCTGTACCTCCTTGAGACAGAAGTGGGAAAACCTAAAAACTACCAAGAATTTCTTTTAGTTTCCTGTGTTTTCTGTTCTTGACCATGTTTGCTGCAGTAGACAAACTGGTTTGGATAAATGGGCAGGAAGGAGGCCTCTCAAATGTCATCTCTGAATTTCAGATCTGAGAAGTACAAGTAACATCATTTTTTCAAATGGAGACTTGGACCCGTGGGCTGGAGGTGGGGTAAGCACATGCACTCCTGCATACCGAGCGGCCTTTCCAGGTGATACACCGCCCTCATCTCCCTTTCAAAGGAGCACTGGCTATTTATCTTTAGCCCATTTGAGTTTCTGCAAGCAGCTCTTTTGTGCTGAACCATTCAGGAGCCTCAGGACATTAATGGTGGACACATTGAATAGTGTCCATCAGCCAGGAACACTGATACAGCAAATGTGGCTTCAGTAGTGCAGACACAGCAGGAGCCTCCTTACGCAACACCCAGGGTCTGAACCACAACCCATCGCATTTCTGTGTTGACACCAAGTCCCAGTGCTGACAGCCCAGCGCTCCTTGCTGTCTCCAGTCTCAGCATACTTTGTGAGACCAAGCAGGTGCTGTAAGCAGCAATTTGAACCAGCACATATTTTGGCTAAGATTCAACAAAACTTCAGAGTGGTGGCAGAGCTCGTTTAAAATTTCAAAACGGAAATGACCCAGAACTGGATTTTGAGTTAGTTGAGCTCCTGATTGTAATGCAGGAGTTCCTTGGTTTAGGCTGGCTTGGCAATCCCAGCTGTAAGAGGACAAGGCTGCTTAGGGTTCATGGGCCATGAGCTTGTTACTTCAAACTACCTGTACTAGAAGAGGCTGACAGTTTTCATCTTGGGGTAAGTGTTCACTTCATTTGAGACAGGTGATTTGGCTCATTAGGACTGTTAGCCATGCACACAGTATCAGCCCTGCCAGGGATCTGTTCCTGTGCTTTTCCTCAGTCTTGCCCAGCTCATCTTCCAGTTTTCAGAACTGATGTCCAGTTTGGCCTGGTAGCTTGGTCAGAGTTTGTCTCTGCTCCTTCTCCTTCCAGATAAATAGAAGCCTCAGTCCTTCACTGATTGCATTGACCATTAAAGGTGGTGCTCATCACCTAGATCTCCGGTAAGTACTGAACTCTCTGTTGGCTGACAAAATCTTCCTGCCCTGGGTGTTTGATCTTAGCTAGCCACAGTCTAAAGAACCAGGAGATACTTTACTTAAAGAGGACTGAATAGCAGACTGTTGCAGCCTAACTGTGGAAAAGCAATCTTCTCCCGTACAGGGCTCTTGCGGCCTTCCGGAAAGCCGGGCTGTGCAGAACTCGGCACTAAGCTCAGGTACTTTCATTCTGTTCTTGCCCAGGGATTGGCACAAGTGTGTGATAGCCTGTAGCAATCAGTCACATGAAGTAGTCCAGTGCCTCTTGGCATTAACCATCAGCCTTCAGGCCCAGAGCAAGAGATGGCAGCAGCCACCAATGCAAGGGAGAGGTCAGGGGTCCCAAGCCTCCGTCCTGGCAGGTGTGACACTGGAACTTGTTTTCCAGGGCATAAATATGAAGTACAAAAATAGGTAATTCTGTCCTTCAGTTCCTTGGCTTGGTTTTCCTTGTGCAAGAGACAGCTGCTGCCTACTGACTAGCTCGCACTGCTCTGCTTTCTCTAGAGGACACAATCCAGCCGACCCCCCGTCCGTCACAGAGGTGCGCAAGCTCGAAGCGAGCGTCATCAACAGCTGGGTGAAATCTGCAGGGATGGAAAGAGCACAGGAGAAGCGCTTGGGAGCTTCAGCAGGTGGATGGATGTGAATATGTCCAACCCACAGCCTCTGGCAAGGGGGCGAGGCTGCCACCAGGATACAAAAAACCAGCAGCCTGCTCAGCTGTGCTGTGCTGTTTAAGAAAGCTTATCTCCTCTGTCATGATGGGGGAGATTCACCTTTCTGAAGTGTACTACCTGCCCCTGATCAAGCATCAAAAGAAAAGCAAAAGGCCAAGTCACTGAAGCCAAAACCCCATTGTGTGGGTTTCATGCTTACCCGCTCAGAATGAGAAGGCATTATAAATGGGTGGAAATAATAAAAGTTTGCCTGGAAGGCCCAAGAATCATTGCTGTCCTGAACAGTATGGTTGCAGGAGACATCTTAAGGTTGAAGCTAAATTATTTGTAGACAAAAAGTAAATATTAGATGATGAATGGAAAAGCAGAGGTATGGTCATTACTTACACAGGTTCACAGTGACCAGTTATATTAAAAAAAGACTCGTGTCAGCCTCAGCCAGTGCTGTGGGTTTGGTTTTTTTTTTGTTTTTAACTTGCACAAGAGATCTCCAGATACACACAAAGTAATCCCGGTGCATACTGCTGACACTTGAGAGCTGCATATTAGTGACCAATAAAGCACACTTCCACTTGAGACATCTTCAGATCTTTTTAAAATAAATTACAAGTTTATTGAAGTGTGTGATATAATTTCATGGCTTGGTAGTATAACTAAAGAAGATAAAAAAGGATACTTCTCACATTCCCAGGTGGAGTAAACTCATCTTTGCACATAAACAGGTGGATTCTTACCTACTGGAATTACTATGCACCAATAAATACTAGCATAATTGCAAAAATATTAAATCCTGGTAATCAACTAGATGCCTCAGTTGATTCATTTACAATGATTTTATGAGTTAGCAGAGAAGCCTCTCAGGTCATTGAAGGTTTATACATTACCTATATAGGCAAAGTCACAGCATTGCTTCACGTTCTGTTATACTGCTCAAACACAAGGCTTTGTGTGAAGTATTTGCGCTGCTGGGTCCTCCCTGCCACCAACAGTACGACCGGTTCCCGGAGGTACAATGGCAGTCACAGACGTTATTTCACAATACACGGGTGCTGACAAAAGGGGTTTTGTACATTGACCCGCTTACCTCTTCCTCATTCTTAAGTACAAAAGGCCAAAGCTTCTGTTCCCCACCCACTGCTGAGAATTGCGGGGAAGAGCAGGAACAGATGAAGTTCATTTATCAGATCTTTCAGATATGTACAGATGAAGGACAACATAGAAGACCCAATTAATCAAACTCCAGCCCCCAAAGAAAAACGTTTTAAGACTGTTAGTGGAACTACATCCTCAGTAAGACCCGTATCTTCTCTGTTTGTGCTGATGAAAACCTCTACACCTCTGCAAAGAGCTGTCAATATCCCTTTGGCTCATACTGAAGTCAGGCTCCAGGTTTGTTGCTGAAACTATGGCTTATACAACACTGCAACTTCCATCCTTACTGAGATGCTACAATCTGGTATTCATCCTCCATGCTCACAGAGCCCCCCGCCTTTCCTGAATTTAGATTTGCAATTGCCCAGCAATTACTCCGGCCTAGCACCACATTAAAAAAGCAGACGGTGGTGGATGCGTCTGCAGACACAGAGGATTACATCTTGCTTATATTACCTTTCTACCAGTATCCTTAGCTCCCAGCAAGCAGGCACCCTAATTCAACTAACCCAGCAGTGCATTAAAGCAGCTAAATTCAGTATGAGTCTTTTGGAAAACAACCTACAAGTTACTGCCTCTGGCCAGTGGCTTGTTTTGTGCCTTTGGGTGAAGAGAAGTCCAGGTATCTTTTGACCTCCCAGAAGGATGAGTTCTTTAATCCTCTTATACTGGACTATACTGATCTCTTATTTTCCTCTTGCAGATAGTACTTGCCCCAAAGGAATCCACGTAGTGTGAGGAACACCAATGGTTTGATTTATACGGAAGGATGAACTAAAGGCTTTCAGATGCTATGGGAAAGGGATAAACAAGATATACATGGACTTCCATGCAGATGATAGATGAGCAGCGCTAAAAATAATTACAGAAACAGCCTTCAGAAACTGTGGCAGAAGTCTGAAGCCTGTGCCACAAACATCCGTAACATTTTGAAGCCTCAACCAAGGAAGAATGGGATCTAAGCAGAAAACCCTGGTTGTATGGTGCTCTCTGAGCTGAAGGGAAGAGCCCAAGAGCAGCAGTTGCCGCTTTTGTGCATCACAGGAACACTGCTTGTGGCTGAACTTCAGGGAACACAAAAGGAAAACGGAGTGCAAGCAGAGAGTAAGTGACTCAGAGCACCATCCATGGGTGGAGCCCCCATGCTGGTGTAAGACCTGTACCGGTGGGGTTGTTGAGAAAAGGTTTATTTATTCTCATACATCACGTACCAGCATGAGTATGACCAAGATGGGAACACTGCACAAAACAGTAAGAAGTATGTCTCTGGTCATATGCCTTTAAGTCAGAGCTTGAAAACTGATCACGCACATCAGGACGTTTTCCTGGCAAGCACAACTCATCTGTTTCTGAAGAACTCAGGGTTGGTTTTTAGTGGAAGCAGAGGCCTCCAGATTTTGATGGTAAGTTCTAGCAATACTTCAGAGACAAAAAAACCCAAGCTATTCTTCCCAAATGCAGAGTCAGGAAACTCTTAACCCTTCTATTAGAGCAACCACATTGCCAGACAGCATCATGGAGCTACCCTGACATGTCAGTTTTAATGGTCTTGTTAAATATACTGACCTTGGCACTGGAAATCAGGAGCTCAATTGCCTGTAGGGTTATTTCTAGGATTGCACAGCTGAAGGAAAGTAGTCTTAAAGGGCAGGAGAAATTCACAAAATTGTGTGAAGATGTTAGTTGCAAAAACCTATGCTGTCTGCATCCCTCATCACTTCAATGTCACACTGCTATAGAATAGGAAATAAAGTGGATTCTTTGCCTAGTATTTGGAGGAGTAAATACAGCTGTCTCTGAGGTTGGCATGTAATGTTGAAAAACTTGTTAACAGAAAGCCATGTGAAACATGGAGGGGCCCCTGTCAGCCAGTAACATGGACGCTGCAAAACTGCCAGTGTCTAAGACCTGTAGTGAGACTTCAGTTCTCAAAAAGTTCAGAGATTAGATGCTAACTGTGGCCCCATGCATCTACTGAATTTTCTCTGAGTAAGCAGGTGTGTATTTTTTTCTGAGCTGTGGCTTAGCCCAGAGGGTGAGACTTCCAAGTCCTACAGCTGTGCAGCACTCCATAGCTGTGCACATACCCACCTTCTGTTTCTCAGTGAAAGCGTAAGTGAACAGTATAGCAGGGTGGGGCTGGTTGGTTGTTTTTTTTTTTTTATTTTAATTAGGCAAGGCACTCAAGCTCTTGGAGAAAAACCAAGGCAGCTCTTTGTGCAAGACAGAATCACTGGCTGAAGAGATGGCCTTTCCACAACATTCAGCTTAAACATCAGAAGCCACCAGTACGCATGGATTACAGACCCTGCAGTTAAGGCTTTGGTTCAAAGAACCACAGAGTACTTGAAAGAAAATTTTTCAAAGATGTGCAAAGCTTCTATTGTGCTGGGGGAGCACACAGTGGAATTGAGATGGGCTGTGAAGCTCAGAGACACAACATATTATATTAAGGAAGTAAAAATAAATGAGCAATTAAAGTGACCTTTGCAAAAGCACAGGAAGAAGCAGATGCGCTTTTATCAGATTATTTAGGTTTGTGCCATTTCACATATAATACAGGAGTCTGAAACAAGCATTTGTTCTCAAAGATAGAGCGAGCTAAACAATCTTAACTTCCGATTTAAAGGACAAGGATCGTAAAGCCGTACTTTGCAAAGAGATTCAGTTTCCCAGGAAGAATTAGGTAGAAAAGAAATCCATTGGACCAACAGGCTCAGCTAAAAGACAGGAAGTGTGTTTGGGAAAGTGATGATTTATTCTTCTCTCCTTCCTCTAACTCATTATGAAATGGATTATTACTCTCAAGCCAATCATCAGGCAAAAAAATATAACACAGACTCCCACAGTCCCATTTGTAGAGTCGATTACGTTAAGACTAGTGTAAGACTTCAACAACAGAAGATTTCTGATGAGCATTTATATGTATTCCACTTTCTAAGGAACCTCTTTGTTCCCTCAGTAGGGCTGCTGTATTGGTGAAACACCAAACTCTGGAAGTTTTACAATCCATAGCAAAGTCATTAATTAAGGGTTCAATAGTAGCTTCATTCGAAGGCACAAGGCCAAAGCAACACAAGTCAGTAGGGCCCAGGTCATCTCACTAAATTTATCTTTTTTTTTTTTCCTCCTTTTTTCTTTTTTTTTTTTTAAATCTCCAGTTTTAAGCCTTCCTCTCTTAGCCAAAGCCTAGCTCCTCAGAAACATGAACCTGCTCCACAAACAAAAACACTGAAGGTGTTTCCTCCCACATTTCAACAGCATTTTCCTTCTTTGCTGTTATGTCAAAAGAAAACAAAAGTCTTAGAAGCAAATCAGTTGTGCAGACAAAGGCTACAGCTACTGGATTCCACTGCACACATAAGTGAGAAACTAATTTCCAGGGTTACTGCTGGCATGTGAACTGGAGGAACATTAACATTCTGCACAAACCTGCCATGTCTTGCAAATCCCAGGGTCCCTTTGATGACAGAAAAAGGTGCATTTAAATTATTTGTAAAATTTCTCCATTTCCATAAGCCATCATTAGTACACGGAATGATGCATGTTCTTTAAAAGACTTAAAAAGTGATCCCAAGGGTAACTTCTGACTCCAGCAAACAGAACTGATCAGCATAAAACAAATAAAGATGCATCTTACTTTACAAATCAAAGGCTACAAATACTATAAAATACACATACCTCCCCTAGCCACTGGAAAATTAAACATTACGGTCAGATTTAATTAGTTCCACTTAGCGGCCCTAGATTTAGAGGGGACTGTACCTCACTGTAGCCACTATATATCTGCGTACTTCCCGCTGCTCCCTTTCATGCGGAGGGAAAGGACATTTTGGTGAGAACAACCTCTTGAAGAAATAGGAACAAGCACGTTTCTGAGAACTTATCTGTGAATACAGGACTGTCCAAGTAGTTACAAAACCAATAGGAAAAGCACTATAGAAAGCAGATTTCCAAATTAATTGTTTAAAATCTATTTGCACATATAAAAAGGAAAGATCCCAGGGCTGCCATAAGATTCTTAAAAAAAAAAATGGGTGTGCTTTGTCTTCAAGTAACTGAACAGATTTCACTAATTCTATTGGGACCAGGAATTGTTATAATACATTTAGACTGACTGCTTTTAATACTTCTAATGAAAATACTTCTACCTGAAGTACTCCTAAGGAAAAAAAAAAAAAAAAATTGAAAATTTCTCCACAGTCCAAAAAATGATGAATAACATGAACTTTGCTGTACAGTTGCAAGCTTGTTTTGAGTCAAACAACACCTTACAATGCAATATCTGGACAGGAAGGGACAGAAGGAGTCTGACTTAGAATTATACCTAATGCGTTCACAAGCTTTCCCAGTCCCCAACCTCTGAAAGCAGCTTTCTGTCAGAATACCTGAGTCTAACTGATGTAAATAATATATAAAATGCATGTGTAGTTTCACTTGCGTTTCACATTATAGCCTGCACTCCTGCAGATAAGTTAAAAAAACTGCAATACCTCTACAAAATTATATACCACTTTGAGCCAAACCAGCAGCAAATTCTCTTCCATCATTCATTTCAGCCACAGCTTGAACAGATTGTTCAAAGTGCTCTATAAAACTAAGACACTGTACAACAGATGCTTTGCCGCCACTTCCTTCTAACACGATGCAGCATAGCTCGGTAGTTTGGAATGAGATCAGAGTATCAGTAGCAATACTGACAGCTTTGCTTCTACCTGGGACAACGTTAACAGTTCTTTGTTTATTCCACTTACCACCTGAAACACCAGACGTTCTTATGAAGGAATGGTGCTGTAACCTAGTGTTTCAGTGAACCTAGAACAAACCAGAAACCTGCAGGCTTATTTCTTCTCTCCAGGAACAATCCTGTGCTGTAAGACAACTTGCTGCATTCCTGATATTTAATGAGCACTTAGTAAGACTGACATTAAGTGAGTTCTGGTTCACCAGAGCCCCGTGAACACCGTGGTCCACACTACAATTATTCTCTGAACCTCATCATCAATACCAGGAAAAACAGCTTAGTATGGCACAGCTTGTCCATCCCAAAACCAGGGATTAGATTTAAGACTAACATGACTTCTCCAAACCAGAGATGCTTTCCCAAAGGTTTTGTTTGTTTGTTTTAAGCCAAAAAAGGTGCAATATAGCATCTCTCCTCAAACCCTGAAAAGTTAAAGTGACTTGAAGATAAAAATGCCACCATTGGAAGGCCTACTGACACCCAGTCTATGCTGGCACCCAGATAGGGAGCGGATGAGCTTCTGTGTTAAATACGTATTTGTCAAGGTTGATTAAGTCTATGTCATCTGAAAACAGCAGAAACATGTATTTGAGTGTTTCCCCAAGGAAGAAGCTCTCCATCTTATCTCGTGGTTCTGGATTACTGGGATTCTGGACATTGTTAATGGAAGTATATCCACCCGTAGGAACCTGTGCCAAAAAAAAAAAAAAAGCAGAAATTCTGTGTATTTTGATAATCTAAAATAAATTATTTTTACTTCTTAACATCCTGATGCACTTGGAGAAAATAAGTACTAGGAAACAGATGTTTTTAATTTCATACTTGTTTTTCATTTACATATAAAGCTTCAGTTATGAAAAAAACTCACTGCATTTTAAAAGAAACCATGAGGATAAAATGAAGTAAAATGTCCACTTCTGCTTAATTTAAAGAGGTATCAAAAATAACATCCCCTTGAAGTTTCTGAAGAAACGTACATAAAGTAACTAGTGCAATCTCTATGTTAGAGTTGGTCAAAGTACTATACCTGTTTCTCTAAAGAACAGACTATGGATATTTAATGACCACTGGCATCTAGGCCACACTTTTACAGCATATCAGAGTGGTGCCTCCATGAGCACTGTAATCAGAATGAATAGAAAATCCTCTCTATTAAAGCATTAATGCCATGTTGTGGCAAATTTTTTTTTTTGGGCAACTTCAACCAGAGTTCTTTCAATCCAGCCAGGTCCTTCTCAGCTTCTGAATTCTAAAAAACATTGCAGGAGAGATTCTAACAGCTTCCAAGCAGATGTAGGGACACTTTGATAGTCTGCATACAACTTCTGCATTTTACTTTTTAATCTAGGCTATACAAGTTCTTTCCCTGAACTTACTAAGTAGCATATCTCAAAATGTAAGGCCCTGCATGAACTGAATTTTTCTGTGTGTTCTTACTAATTTCCCCACAAGTATTTGATAACTCTTGACAGACAGCACGTTTCCAAAGCTCTTGTTAGAGAGCAAGTGAGCAAATACAGTCCTGACAGAACAAGGTCATTATAAGCTGACCTTACCCGTGTGTACTTATTGAAGTTCTGCAAGATTTCCCAGCCCCAGTCCTGGTATTTCTTATCACCAGTGAATCTGTACATATAAAAAAGGCTTTCCACAGTTTCTGGTCGCAGTAAGTTGTGCCTGTCTGCAGGCTGTAAGACACACAAAAAAAAAGGCAAGAATAACTCAGACAGTGAATTTCCTCAAGGATACATGCCAGAAGAAAAATAGTGATTCCCATCTCCACCTACTCCAAAGACTTTCTTATGCGTAATAACTCAGCTTCTAAATACACTACATGGGTAATTAAAAACCAAGGTTAGGGTACACCTAGAAAGCAAGACAGCAAAAGAACAAGCTGCTCCACAACACAGCACATCACCAATATCCAGCTGGGAGTTTCAACAGCAGAATATAGATACAGAAGAATCACCAAATTACAGTTCAGGCCAGCTATCTGTTCACCTTGATTTCCACATCTTTGTAGCCCTTTTGTGCATGAAGATTGAAGTGTACGATCTCCGGACTCAGGCCTGTTTCTACTTGAGCATACATCTGGTAACAGGTTTCTATAAGAGCTTCAGCCAATTTCATATGATCAGCAGTCAATCCATTGTGAGCTCCCAGTGCCAAAGTACCAGGCAAAAAGCAAACCAAGTGATCCTGCAAGACAAGACAACTCTTACCCGGGGAAAAAAATTACAGAACAAACAGGTATTCGTGTGTGTGCCTCTCCGTGCCCCTATGTGTGTGTCTTTTTTTTTTTTTTTTTCCTTCTTTCTCTTCTTCAAAACACATTTCAGGTACCAAGAACTTCATGGTAACTTTTTAACAACCTGATGTAATGTAGCAGGCAGGCAGCATTATTACAGAGACATCACTAATTTGGAAAATGTACAAGACTCTGTTTTTATGTCAAATTTCTGCAAAAAAGGTCTCTGGTCAGGGCAAGAGGGAATAGAGTGTCTTTTGGTTTTCCAGAAGTATACATTTCATACCAACTCATGAAGGGGGGTAAGCAGAATCACCTAAAGGTTTCTCAACAGACACCTAAAGGCACAACATAAGGGACAAACTGATCATCTGAATGTAATTTTAAACTTAAAATGGAACAGAGATGGGAGTCAGCCACAGAAAACAAAGCTCTGGAGAAGGGGGAGAGATCAGCTGAAGGAGACTTTCCTCATCCTGAAATAATCACCTTAGTATTATCGTAAGAGAGACAACGTCTCCAGAGATCATTAGATCCACTGATACAACTGGAAAACACTGCCAAGCTTTCAAGCATACTTCTGCCTGAAAGCTTGCTCCTTTCTTGCAATTTTTTTTTTACAGTAATAAAAAGCTATTAGCCCTCACATCTGTGGAGCACCAAAGATGCAAGAGCATCATTCTTCTAGAGAGTCTGGGATACAGCTGGCTCCCATTCCCACCACTAGCTCTCCAAGACTTACTCCCTTGTTTACAGCCAGTGGAATGCTGCAGATACCAGGCACCTTGAACAAAACATCTTTGGCTCTTTGTGTATGTTTGGAAGAGGGGCACCTGAGGATGATTGTGCCAAGAGCATTCC